GGGTCTGCCTGCCTGTAGTCAGGTGTGGCGGGGTGTGCTGTCCCCCTGTAGAACACAGGAGAAATAGCGTGTGTGTATGGGTGCGTAAAGCGGCTGGGGCGTGATAGAGGTGTGTTGTCGCCCTGTATTAAGTAGGGATGAAGCTAATGCGTGTGTCAGTGCACAGAGCAGATGTGGGGTGTTACAGCGTGGATGCGTGGGGTGCTGGGCTGGGGCACTGTGCTATGTGCTTTTATGTGTGTGCTATAAGCCAGGGTGTGGCCTGGGACGTGTGTGTACAGCAGACGGAGGGTAAGACTTGAGGGTACTATCACGCCTCTGTGTGCGTGTGTGTGTATATCTGCTATGATTTGGGCTTCGGATATGCGTGTGTATTGTAGCAGAGATGTGACATCACGTGCAGGGACATGTCATGGCATCGTATGTATGTAGTTGTGTCTGTATGCCGCTGTCTGGTATGGGCTTCTGTCTCTGTGTGTGTGTATATATAGTGAACACTGGATGTGGCATAATATGTGGATATTTTTATAGGCATGTATGCTATGGGTGTAGCAAGGATTATCTGTACTTTTATATGTAGCAGATACAGGGTATGGTATTTTGTGTTCATAGAGTGGCAGTTGCTTATATGCGTGAGTATGCATAGCTGTGATGGCTTACGTGCATGCACAGATGCATTTATAAATATAATAGACTTGTATGTATGTGGTGGGCATGAGGTTTGTTGCATCCGTATGTAGAGATGGTGTGTCATGGAGCGTATGTAGTGTGGAGGGTGCAGCGAAGGAGAAAGAGTGGCTGAGGTTTGCTCGGTGGGGAGGGCATGTGGGGATGTGATACAGTACGTGTATGCAGCGAGTGGCAGGGGAGAGGTGCATCGTTGTGTTTGTGAAAGGAGGATGACAAGACACGTAAGGGGGAGTGAGTGTAGGGACGGGCACAGCGTGTTTATAAAGGATATTGGTATGATCCCTGTTTTCAATTACAACTTGAGTATCTGATGCCTTATTGCTTTGCAGTGATAGTTTTGTACAGGAAGAAGGCACTGTTGCTAGCCTTTTGCAAGTGGGGAAATGCACAGTGTTTTAAGGCAGAAAATCACTTTGTGTATATTTGTGTGTGTGTAATGATAGGTTTCCTGTAGCAAGTTCTGGGTAGGGAGAGGGAGCGCTCAGCCTTACAAAGAGAAGGAGCATATGTTTCTTTCTCTTCTTCCTTTGCATGAAGGCTTGTTCATGCTCCTTCTCTCTCTTCTGCACTTTGCCTTCTGTTCCTTCCCAAATCTAGCCTGTATATTTTGAACCTAAGCAAAACAACCTTGAAAACTAAAGCATGAGGTGGAATAAAAATATGGATAGACTGTGTGGGATTGCAGTACTCTTCGAAGTAGAATCATGTTGGATTTGGTTTGCAAAGGTTTTAGTATGCATCTGTTGCTACAAGGAGGAGTAAACATCAGTGAATGAGGCTGCGGATGGTGTAGTATTGGTGAAGTGATTACGATGCAACTTGATGATATGTCCTACTTCACATTAGTATTCCATCACACATCTTACTGTATCTTCTCTGATGTGGAGTATCTTAAAAGTCAGTTGAATAAAATGGATTTATCTCATGTTCTAAACTTAGGAAAAATTACAGACTGAAAAACAATGAACAAAATATTTTATAAACTGTTTCACAGTATAAGTAAATGTTTTCCATTTACCAAACTCCAGGCGTGGAGTTTTCCTTCATGGTCCATTTTGACATTCCTGATTAGATACCTTTGTCAGTCTAAACTCAGCAGATGTAGAATCTGCAAAGCAGCACTGAATTGTTGCTGTAACTGCACAGGTAAAATCTCAGAAATTATACCGGATAAGCTTTTCTGCTGTGCAGATTCTTATATTGGGCAACTTCTTAGTTGCACTTTACAGCTGATAAGAAAAGGATAAAATAGCATCACTTTTTTAATCTTTTCATGTTTTTTGGATATTTTATTCAATGGATGCTTATACTTGAATTGCTCCCTGTTATAGGGTTAGTGCTGTTTAGGTTGTTCTTTCCCCTCTTAATTTTTCATAGCTGCATAGTTGAAAATTCAAGAAAGTTGAGGAAGGAATTAATTTTGACCAATTAACGCCAGACCTCTTAGTATAGGGAATATCAGTATTCCTACAAATCAGAAGGACCATTAGGTTATTGCTTTCTTATTTTGACAATAGACTTGAAATACTTACTCATCTTGGTTAAAATTAGGGATAACGTGGAGCTAGCAGATGTGGAAAGTTTAAAATAAAAGTCATATTTTCATTGAAGCATGGCAACTATTTTTAGGTTAGTGTAGAAAAGTAGTACTAATCTTGGCACTGTGACAATATTGATCTGAATGCCAGCAGAAGGCTACACATTAACAGTACTTCAGCTGTTTTGTCAATTAGGAATCAGAATAACTGCACTAATTTGGTATAAATTCTTATCAACTTGTGTAATAGTTCTGGTAGTGTTTCTACTGAATCAGAAATACACATAAATGGGATATGCTAAGTAGGACAAAACCAGATGAAATTGTGAAACTGAAGAGTTCTCCCTCATTCAGACAGTAGCCTGGAGCTAATTTAGACAATAGCCACAACATTCACTCGCATTCTTTCTAATAGCCTTTTTAGGAAGGTGATCCATATACTCCATAGACTTCTTAATTTTTTTTTTCTCTTTACGTTTTAGCACAATGCAAAAACTGTTACAATTTCTGGTCATACTTGAGCTATGTATTTTGGGTGACTTGATTTGAATGTGATAGGGTTGGAGTCCAGCTGTCTGCCTGAGCTTTTACAAAACAGCTTTTCCCACTTGAACTTTTAAGATGGGGTGGGATATTCTAATTGTTTGCAAAGCTTCTGAGAAGGAAGATTGTAAACACAGAGTAACTTCTAAATGGTGAAAGTCAGACTTGCATTCTTACAAATGCAGGAAGTCTTTATCTGTTGTTACAAAAGAAAAAGGTACACATAAGGCATTAAAAGAGTATAGTGATGGACTTAAAACTCACAGCATACTGGTATCTCCTGGCAAGTCCATGTTTATTTTTCAGCATCAAGAAATTTCTTGCATGTCTCTATCAAAAGTTTAAACTAGTTGTTCTTGAGATTGAAGATTATTTTTTTTTTTTACTAGTACTTTGGGAACTTTTTGGGAAACTTTTCTCATGGACTAATTTTTCAAAAAATGTACTGTGCTATGAATGTCTGAAAATCTGTGTATATAGTGTGATTCTACAAGACTGCGTGAAACCAAATGGATTATTTTTGTGCTGAGATTAATTTTAATTTGAGTACAGTCCCTGTGAATGATGTTGTGGTGGAAGCTGCCTTAGATTCTATTTCAGTATGTCTGCGTAGAGTCTCAAAGTTACTTGAATGGTCAAAGGGAAGTACCTTTCTCAGGTGTTTTGAACTTAGGCTTTTGCAAATTGGATTTGAGTGTCTGATGCCTAAGGAGGGATTTGTTATTTACCTGGTCAAGAAAAAGAAAGTACAGAATCTGTAAGATGCATAATTTTTGCTGACTCCAATGACCTCCCACCAAACCCAACCCCCAAAAAACCCCAAACTCAAGCAAAACTACAGTATGAATTTAAGCATTTAAATGGACTAAAATGATTTCTGTTGGGTACAGAGAGGTAATGGAAATGCAGCAATAGTTGCATTGTTTAAAATACAAGGACACCTCAGCTGATACAATCAACTACAGCCAATCTCTTGAGTGATTCCCTCTGGGTTGTTATCTTTGCCTTGGAGGAACCACTGCACTCATGCTAGAGGAGGACTGGAACTGGAAATGTGCCCTTTTCTGGGCTTGCACATTTATGACTACTTGGAACCACAAGCTGCTTCTCTGTAGCCCACAAGAAAGTACTTAAAATTTGGTATCAAGCCGCTACCCTTAAAATATTGGCCATGCTTCATGGTATACTCTGTTTTTCTATCCCAGTGTTTTCCTGCGTTCTCCTTCAGGCAGAAGGAAATAGTAAACTCTGTTTTCATTGGATTTGATTGCTGTTCAACTGGTTAACCAGTATGTTCTGTAAATTTAAGTCAATAAGGAGACAAGACATCGTCAAATCTACATAAACATGAAACTCTACCAGTATGTCAAGTTTGTCTGTCTTCAGAGGTTGAAATTGAGGTCAGATCTTCACAGAGGAAAGGCATTTCCATATCATGACTTGATGTTATGTGGTAGTTATCTGAGCATTAAGGGGCAAAATGTCTGAGTATGCTTGTAGTTCTGAAAATGGTCTATAATCTAATTCTCAAGCAGAAGTATCAAGGTTATTTTATTTCTGCAATAATTCAAGAATCATAAGTTTTGGCAGATACTAACAATTAAGTGAGTGCCCAGTTTCTCCTCTAAATCTCAACCTCTTACCTTTCTCACAACAGTTTGAAAAAGATGTTTTGGAAATGCTACTATGATGCTGTTTCCTTTGAAGTCAGTTATAATTGCTGCTGGTAATCATGAAGAGGTACCTAATTTTGTCTCTTATAACTGAGAGCTTTTATTAATTATACACTAGATATATGGTGTGTGCAGTCGCAACACAGATTTTTTCTGGTTTTTTTTTTTTTTTTCTGGTTCATACTCTAGGGAGGTTGCCTTGCAGAGAAGGTTTTCTCATCGTAATAAAGATTTCACGCTCTCAGTACTAGGAAAAACGTCAGTTCTGACATAGTGTTTATGATGCAGATCAAGCACAGCTTTAAAATGGCTTTGTAGAAGCTATAGAGTCATTTCTGTAATGAACTATACCTTTTAAGTCTCAAATATATTTTGGAAGAGCAGTTATGTTGGGGGGGGAAATATTAGTACTCAAAATTTTTGTTTCACAGGTGCTTAGAAGAAGGGATTCTGCTTCAACCATTTAGAGTTTGAGCTAAGTACAGTAAGAAAAAGAATTGCCTTTCTCGATGTGGGATTGCGTGGCTGGTGGGAGGACTGTGTCAGTCCAAGTTAGAATGGTGCAAGCTCCTGGGGAAATGGACCTGCAGAAGAATCTCCGTGTGCACACTCTGGGAGGATTTCAGGTCTCCATTGTCGTGCCATCAGTGTGTTAGTTTGTATGCCAGTATTGGAGACTGGGAATAAAACTTAGCCATATGTGTGGCAGTAAAAACAGCCATCTGCAGAAGTGATGATTCAGAGGAGGAGTTTTGAAAGGTGTACTCCTAAGGTCTCTGTTGAATATGTGATGTGGATTAAATTTGGATGGCTGAGACTGAATGGCTATCCCTAACCAAATATTGCTGCATTACAACAAATGATCACCAACTTTTCTCTCGGCTTGATTTTTCGGAAATGTATCCTGCTCTGAATGTCTGAGAATGTGTATTATATAGCATGATTCTACAAGACTGCATGAAACCAAATGGATTATTTTTGTGATGAAACAAATTGTAATTTGAGCACGCAGTCCCTGTGAACGTTGTGATGGAAGCTGCCTTAGAATCTGTTCCAGTATTTCTGCTTAGAGTCTCCAAATTACTCGAGTGGTCAAAGGAAAGTACCTTTCTCAGGTGTTTTGAACTTAGGCTTTTGCAAATTGCATGAGTCTCTGCTTGATGCTTAAGGAGGGATTTGTTGTTTACCTGCTGAAGGAAAAAAAAAAAAAGCACAGAATCTGTACGATGCGTAACCTACCCTTGTGATGGGCTGCAGTCAACAACTGCTTCATGCATTTGATTTTAATTTTCTGCCACAGGTCTGTTGATCTCCAGGCCTGTAAAGTAGATGATACGGGTTTCCCCATTTCCCACTTTCAAGTGATTTGTAGATTTGACTATTAATTGAATGCTTTGTTTTGTTTTTTAGGAATAATGTCTAAATGCTTCATCATGTACTGTTTTTATTTGGAAGTGCATAATCTTAAGAGTAATGCATAAATATCTGAAGAGGGAAATACTCAGTCATCATTTTTTTTTTTTGTAAAGAAAACAAACTGAAGAAAAGATTTACCAATCAGTATATGACTAACAGATGATGAGGATAAAACTTTGTCAAACCTGTTTTTTCAGCTGTCTCTTTATATATGCTTACATAATATACAAGGATACAATTAACAGCTTTTTCCAAATTTCTTAGTGTTTAAACGGTAGTTGTTGGATTCTGCCCCCCGCCCCGAGCCGAACCAGTCTCTAATCATGAAAGATTAGGTAAAGGCTAGTTTATTTTTCTGTGTAGTTCAGGTTTGTTTTGCCATCTCTGGTAGTGGTTAGAACAGGATGTTTTAAAAGACAAAGTGTGAACTAGGTGGATCATAACCTGAATGGAGGGTTAGTCTTCCATGGAACAGTAATGTGGAAGAAGCAGAACTTGCAAACCTTTTTTGCAAATACTCGTTTGCAAATGCCTGTTTCTTTTGTTTAGGTATTGGGTTGAACCTAATGTTTTCTCTCATGCAGGCTACCAAACATCAGTTACATGATAGTGAGCATTGATAAAATGCTCTTTCAACTGAATTTTAGGTCTGCAAGTAATTAGGTCAGTCGCTAATTCTGCAAACCATTGGATTTCCCCTTCATAATTTTTAACAAGTTAAAGTAGGAGCTATCACACTCTAGTCAGTGTTGACATCGTACAGAAAAAATTATGCAACTTTGAGTTAGTTCTGTTCCTCTTTGATTTGTATCAGAATTTACAATGAATTAAATGTTTAAATAGATCTGTGTCACAGCACCGTAAATAACAGTGCTGGTAATACAGCAGTATGTGAAAGTATGCTTAGTATGTGGGGCTAGTTCAGAGGATTGCTGTTTCTTTGGTGACTTTGTAGGAGACGAGGTTAAGTCTTGCATTAAAGGATGGTCAGCTCAGCTAACAGGTCAGGCTAACCTGTTTGGCCTTAATGCCTTGGCTGCTTGCAGTAATTAAGCCATACTCTTGAAAAGGCTTGATTGGTGATTTTCAAATATGTTGTTGGCAGTAGGTGACTGCCCTTCTGAAAAACACACGGGAAAGGGTGATGTGAGCTATTTGGTCAACTGAGAATGAGCTGGTGTGCTGGAGACAGCAGGCAAGGCAACCTCCAAGCACCTCCTGCTCCACGCTAAGAGGCAGTTGAGTTGGAACGGCCAAAGGCCTCGAGGTAGAGCTATGCAGCTACAGACATCAGCTCTGAAGTTCACAAATGACCTTGATCTGTCACCTAGTGAGAACAGGGCCTTGCAGAGCCAGACTGATGCCCTCCGGTAACATGTGAATGATGTGGTATGAATACCAGTGCTGGCAAAACAAGAATGATGGCTCTTCTGGAAGAAAACCAAGCAGCAAAGTGGGCAGCGTGGCCAGCTGCTTCTGCCTGGCAGGAGCAGGACAGCGCTTGCTCTGGGGAAACTTTAAAAGCCATATGGCCCTTATAGGCAGCCCTAGGTCCATGGAAGGCATTACGGAAAGAGAGAGAGATGTTCCCAGGTGTATTTGATCTTGTTCTCTGAAGGTGAAGCTTAACTGTTTAACGACAGCAATAACGACAGACCAGGATGGCTGAGATTTTAAAGTGCACAAAGTCAAAGCCTGCGATGGAGCACGGTGAGCAGCTGGAGCATAGGAATGAGAGCCTGGAGGGCAGATAGTGTCTGTTTCTTGAAATAAAAGAATTTGCCAGTCTGCCTCTGCTGTAGACTAGCTTGGTTCGAGATAGCATTGCCTTTCCAGGTTCACTTTGATGTGTCGTAATTTTATCGATTACACAGAAAGCTTTACCATGCGTTCTAATTTAACACCAGCCCTGTGCCATCAGCTGTTGTGTCTTCGTTATCACTTATTTCAGTTCTGTTGACAGTGCATATCCATTCGCCTAACACTCCTTTTGTTGCCTAGATACAGTTACATTTTGCTACTTGCATGGTGTTGAATGATTCTGCCTGTCTAATGCATTAATTGTACATTTCTGGAGGAAGCGCCAGCTGGCAGCAATTCTCTGACCATTAGAGAGCACTCTATAGCGTAACATGTGAGATAATCCAAAATATATAGTAAAGGAAGATTGTTTTGCCTTTTCATCTTCCTCCTCCTTTTTTCTGCTGTATTGAAATATAGAGATTTTTAGGGTGCCATTCATTACTTTAGTGTGCTCGTGAACTGCTCTGGGTAGCAAAGCTGATCTGCTGGCTTTCCTGCCGCTATAGCAAGAGGCAATTTCAGTAGCATGCTGAAGGGGAGGTTCCACAGGCAACAATTGGGCATCTCCACTGAGGAGGAGATGTGCAGCAAGCTGGTGGGTTTTGTGTTTGGTAACAAAAATCTGCACATCAGGGGAACCGAATAAAACTTCTATTTTGTCAGGATTTTCCTTTAAAACATCTTGTTCTTACCATGCCTATTACTGCATAAATAATACTAAATAAATACTGTTCTTGCCAGTGAAAACCTGGAAGACTTGATGCTTTTTACATATGGCAATATTTACAATTTAACTAGGACATTTGCTCTGTCAACCATAGGAGAAGGGAAATGTATGGATTTAATTCTACACTACTGTCTCCTTCGGTGACAGTGACCCAACGTTGGGTTTTATTCCTGACTTGATAAAGAATTCAGCCTTGTTTTCAGTATATATCTGTCTTCCCTTTTTGCCAGTGTTTTTTTGGGGGTTTCTCAGACTTCATCTTCCCTCTTTCCCAAGTCTACTTTTACCCATAATTACTCACTTTAGCACACTACTAAGCAAGGCTATTTTTGAGAGTCTGGTTCTTAATAACTTTTGATTTGAAAAGTTGACAGGTTGAAAGTCCTTATCTACTCTGATTTCAGTGGAAATTAGATGCATAAATATCTCTGTGGAACTGAGCCATAACGACTGAGCTGCTAACAAAACTGTTTCATCTGTAAAGAAAATAGTCCTCTTCAATAGAGGCCTGAATGACAGCCAAAATTGCATCATTGAAAAAACCTAAGGACTATCAACAACATGAGTAGTATAAGCTTATTTTGATCTTCAAATCCTAGTTGAAGGGAATTTCTAAGTGTTTTAGATAACCAGGATGAATATTCTTTTGTTTCTTTGTAGAGAAAACTGAACTTTTTTGAGCATATTACAGTCCTTTGCCAGTCTGGGTACAAGACCACAATGCGCAACTTCATCAGAAAAGATTTCTTCAAAGCAGTAATTCTGATGGAAACAGGAGAGCTTTATCACTAACTGTTAGACCAGAAGAGAATAATATGTGGTGCTTTTAGTGGTGGCAAGCTAACTGTGGTGTAGCAAGAAGTTATGTTCTAGGATAGTGGCAATTAGTATGTTTCATAATATGGAAAGGGAAGCAAAACGAGATTATTCTTTTTGGATTTGACAGATTTACACAATGGATACTTTATTTATACAATAAAGAGACAAAAAAATTAAGTGTAGTTGCTGAAGAAATTTAGTGTAAGCAAGTATCAGGTCATTTTTTTAAGGAAACACTCCCCTTTTAGCTCATTATAACCAGTTTTTCAAAAGTACAGTGAAGATACCGCCAAGAGAGGTCAGTTAAGGAATGTAAGAAATGGCTCAAGATTCAAGTAATAAGCAATTACAGTTTTCTTTTGTGGTTTTTATTTTGTTTGTTCTCTCAATTCCTTTAAGAATGTAGGGATTTTCTGTATCTCTTCTTATGTTTACAGGAAATTTAGAGCTGGTTTTAAAGTAACATTTATTACATATGTTCAATCTTACCTATCCTTTTTCCTTGTGCACAGATTTGTCTGTTGTATTTTGGATTTTATACAGTTAAAACCAGACTTTTCTAGAGTTTGAGATACCCTCTCATTAACACAGTCAAATTTCCTGACAAATGCAAAAGCAAAGAAAGAGGAAATATTCTTTCTACATCCATGGTATTCTTAATTGTTATTTTGTATTGTTGTATACAGATATTTTGAGGCCATGTAGTTGTCAGCACTATCTGTAAGTGAAGAAAAATAAATAATGCTTGACAAGATTATTAGAATATTTTTTACAGCAATTGAACACATCTTTGACTGGTTTTGGTGTTTGGTTTTTTTTATAAAGAGAAAGAGAAAACTAGAAGTTATGTGATAAAAATCAAGTAAAAAAATAATGACGGCACTGTTTACTTCAGAGGGGTGACACATAAATGTATTCAGGGTATTTATTTCATTAACAGAAGTTTTGGAATATCAGGAAATGTTCAAAGAATAAATATATTATCCTGGTTGCACCTTCTGTTTTTTTCTCTCTGCTTGCACACGTTCAAAATCATGTTACAAATCTTCATCTAGTAGATGACTACACCAGTTATCCCATGCCTGTTCTTCATTTGGGGGAAAACTAGTATTGAAGAGCCTTTAAAGAAGTCCCTCTCTTCCTCTGAAATGCAAATGCAATATGACTCTAGAGGCTAATATACTTTTTTTTCAGATTAAAAGAATGCTTTAAAGAGACTCTTTCATTTCTCTAAATATTCCTATTCCAAAAGAATAATACTTTATGATATGATAACTATAGCTAATGCATACAAGAACACATAAAACTTACTGTTTGAGGGAAAACAGCTTCGAGTCTGTGGCCTCTTCTGTGACTTGTGTAGCAGGCATGGTACCTTGTGTGTCTGGGCAAGTAGCACACTTCTATTCAGTAGTAAAAAATGCATTTTTTTTTCAGTTTTAACTGGGATTCCTAAATGTGACGTTGGTCGTATCTACTGTCGTGTATTCAAAATAGTTTGTCCGTCCAACTTTAACTTAAAAGTCTAAAGATATCTCATATAAACTTAGAGAGATTATAAGCCTTTTTCCCCCTAAGAGTTGCCAGTTCGGTTGTAGGTTTAAATTTTCAGCTTGGCCCCAGTAGAAAAATACTTACTATTCCCAAAAAACTGTTCTATGGTTTGTAGTGATTTGGCTTTTTAATGTAGGAGTTGACGAGTAGTTGGAAATACTCAAAAGTCTTGAACACGCATTGTAGCTGTTGGTATTAAATAGTAACTTGCTCATACCTTACTAACTTAAATGCAGTGTCACCTTCACACAGTGAGCATGTATCCATGTTACTGTACATCTGGGAATCTACGGTGTAAAGAAAAACCGGCTAATAACAGCTTTTGTACTGGCAAAGTGATGGCATATGTGTAAACTAGCAGCAGGCTGCAAAGTAGCTTTATTTAAAAATATATACTTATGCATGTAAGTGGGAAATATATGCTAGATGATGTAACTTTGGAGGAATTATCTGCAACTATAGAATAATTAAGTGAAATGAGGATTTTTAGTGGTCTGTGATACTGAATGTTCAGATTCTGGGCCAGAATTAATGAGATATAAGTTCGCTTGTCTGTTTTACCACAGACCTTGCGTGCTCTCACGGAGGTAACTTCCTTCTTTGCAACTTAATTTTTTTTTTTTAACCTGTAATGCACAAGAATATTTCCCTACTTTACTCTTTAGTGATCTTAAGTTCTAGGAGGATGGCATATGTGTCTCCTTTTTCTGAATGAGTGCTGCAATAAACACAATTAGGCTTATGTTTTGACTGTTCTTCTAAAAATTATCTCAATATATACTATTGTTTTCAGGCTATAAGCTGCAGACCATCAGTAGCATATAATATTAAAATGGCATGCATGCAGATAATTCATAAATCTATCAATTGCCAAGCTCAGAAGCAGTCAGCCAGTTCCAAAAACAGTGTTGATGTACATAGTGTATTTCAGCGTAAAGGTTGAAAATACCGACAGTGATGGCTATCGGATGTAAAGCAGAACCAGAGCAAACCTGAACCTGTGGTCAGCCATGTGGAACTGCTTAAAGCCAAGAATGTCTCTCTTCTGAAGGAACTAGAATTGTCCTATTGAAATATATATGTAGAGGTGTTTTATGCTTTGCACGTCTACGGTCACGAGTCTATGAATAATTGTACTGCTCCAGTTGAAGGAAAAGGAAGCTTGATTGAATTTGTTGGTCCTATTGAAAGTTGCCGGTTTTATTATTCTCAGATGTGTGGATAACTGCACAGAGGTGGTGGGTGAAGAAAGTGGCTTTTGCTGTTGTGTCAAAATTGAGAAACAGTACTATGCAGTTAGACCTGAAATCAGCCTAGGATGTACTGGAAGAGAAAAAAGGTTCTTGATGGCAGCCAGAAGGAAATTCAAGTATTCTAATCTTACAGTATTTTTTTAGGGAGATATTTTCAGGACTTCCAGATGTGTACTTTCTGCTGTCTCCCTTTTTTTTTTTTATGAAGACAGAGCCAAGCTTATATTCAGCTTTTTTTCATTCTTTGCTTGATGTACCTTTGAGCTTCCTCCCCGCCCCCCCCCCTTTTTTTTAACCAAGAAGGAAAGCAAATTGTTACCAAGTATGTGATATGTGTTGATGGTAGGGTGGACAAGGGGTAATACCCTGATGCTTGAGTCAGGAACAGCGTCTTCTTAGTGAAGGATGGGGGAAAGATTTCCAGTTGTTTTTCATGTTTCTGTTTTGTGTGGCTTTCATATTTACCTTTCAGCATTCAAAAACCTCAACTATTTTGGATGCCTCTTTCTAGCTTTTGTTTCTGGTAATGTGGACAGCAAATGGACTCCATCAAGGTCTTCTCTGTGCAGGGAAAGTGACTGTGTGTGACTTTGACTTCCTCCAGTCTATGCCATGGTTCCTTAAATTCTGATTCACCCTCTGTTTAGTGTATTGCTGTGTTCCTCTGGCAAAATTTCTCAAACTTAAATATTTACAATAAGTTGTAAGTCTGGTCAAATTCTCCTTTGTTTAGTTTTTCTGTTTAACTGTTGACTGATCCTTTTCTCCTTTTGCAGAAATGTTTTCCTATATAATCTTTGTATTGCCTGCTTTTTCCCTTGGGCATTTGCTTTCAGTCTCACCACTTTCTTTTGCTTAGGAGATATGCTAGTAATATGAAGTTCTGGGTGAGAGGTGTGTTGAGTTTGTCTTGTAGCATTTCTTGAGGTGCTTCCCTTGCTTATATAGGACTGTCATATCTGTGGCAGTACATTCTTTAAATCTTTAGATTATTATATTTTATCCATATTCACATACCTGGGCCAAAGTATTTATACTGTAGACAGTGAAGGAAGGGACCTGAATAACTGGAAAGTGTCCAGTTTCTGTTTTCTGTAATGGGACAGTTTTAGGACTGTGCAACTAGTGTGTGTTTGTATGTGTCTTGCTATTGCTAGAAGTTTCACTACTGCCTAAAATACTTCTTTATGGGGTGTAAGTGTGGCTTCTGATTGCTTGTTTAATGATTGTTAAGTTGCTCCACAGTTTTCGTGCAGTTAAATCTTAGCACTAGGGCAGAGCAGGTGTATGCGTGGGTGTGGCCCTGTTGTCTATATTGAAATAATTTTATAGTATTGCCAACTAACATGTTGAGAACTTGACATTAACAGTAATTTAAAAGAACAAGCACCTGAAGTAGAAGGTGAAAAGACTCTCTAAAAGCTGTTTTTCTTGTTGGTCTTTTTAAATGATGTTTTTTCTTTCTGTTTCTAGGTTTTCTCAAATAATGATGAAGCCCTTATTAACAAGAAACTACCCAAAGAACTTCTGTTAAGGTAATTCTACATGATGTGTTTTGGAGTAAAAACCTGAGCATCGTACATTGCTCATGTAGCTTACAGGCTATCAAGTGCTACTCATTCTTTCTTAAATCTGTCTTGAAATAAATAGCAACATATCTGATTTAATTCTTGGAATTCTTGAACTTGTCTTTTGGTTAGTCTTGATTTGTTTTAACGTGTTCAAATTATACTATACCATGCAAGATGTCATTTAATAGTGATCTCTTCCTTGCATATCGGAAAAAGAATTGAAATAAAATGTCCGAAAAGCTTTGGTATAGAGAGTAGTCAACTCTTCCACACTGCACAATGTTTTATCTGTCTGAAGAGCCTATAATCCTTTCTCTAATGTAGTTCACACTCTTCGTGTCATGAACTTTGTTATAACAAAATAAATATAAATTCAACTGCAAAGCTTTCAAAAAGTGACTTCAGTGAAAAGCACTGCCTGTTACCATTGCTGCCAGTCTCTGTTACATAAGGTAGAACCAACAGGAGGATTTTTCTTACTGTAGTCATTTGGCTAGTCTAAAATTTCATTAGCTTGCTGGTGTGTGAGTAGATGACCTTTGCAGGAGTTAGCTACACCACCAAGATCAGTAAATTCAGCCCATGGTGAGACACTGATGGATGCTTCATGCTCTCATCTTGTTGAAAGTTCATTTCAAGCAAAGTGTAAACTGCCAGATGTGGAGATAGTTATCGACTGGATGTGACCACTTCAGAGCTAGAACTCAACCAGTTCAGCAACGTCTTCTGTACCTGCATATAGGTTTTGTTACAGCCCACTCTTTGAGGGGAAAGGTGAAAAAAAAAAAAAAGGTTTTAACTTATAATGGTCAATTACAGTTTTTAGTGATGGTGTTACTAAAATTGAGCTGATGACTTCTTAATACACTAAAGAGATGTTTGGGTTAGCTTGTATGTATGTCATTGCTTCCTGTTCGATTTGAAGTGGGAGAATGTCTCAATGGTATTTTGCATCTTGCGTCTGAAGAAAGTGCTCTTAAAACATTATGACTTCTTTTAGTGTCTGTACTATTACAATGCTCTCTTGGTGGTATTAAAGAAGCAGTCTGTTGTTAAAGGAATTGAATTTTAAAAGGATTTTCATTTTTGTTGAGAAATACTCATTCCATATGGTGACAGTGTTGTAAATTAGACTCGTAGAACTGTTTAGAAAATGTGATTAAAAGAGACGCATCACTGAATGATGCCCTGAACAGAAATTCTAAGAACTTTGCTTTGTTGCACTGAATGCCACACATGAACCATGAGGTAAAAGTCAATTTAATATGCTGCCTCCTTAGCAAAGAATCATAATCCTCAAGCACTTCTTTTCTAGCAGGAGGACTCTCCAAATGTCTGTGGAAATGACTGTCCTTTTCACTGTTATGGGTGCTAAGTATCCCATTTATGTAATTCAACAGAATTTGTTGATGTGGTTTAGACAGTGAAAAGTATCATGCACTGAGATAGTAAAGACATCTTCTTTTGAAATAACTTATTGATTATGTAGGATCTGTGAAGCTATATAGATATTAAATTCCTAAATTATTGTGTCTATGCTAATTACATGAGAAGCATCTATAAAATTAATGTGTTGAGGCTTACTGTGAGAATTCCTGCATCTAACTAACTGTCGTGGCAGTGTCTAAAGAAGCCTTTTGCATGGTTGAAGGGCTTCCTGGGGATGGAACGACAAAATAAAATAGTCCAGACCAAGCATACATGGAACTAATTCAGCCAACCATCTAGTTCTTGTGCACGTATGTCCTCTTTGCAATTGCACAGCGATCTACCAAAGTAACATTGCAGCTGTAGGCGGAAGAGTTAATGATCTGGGAAACTGAATTGGGACAGTCAGCTTTCTCAGTAAAGACCATGATGATCTCATGCTGGGACTCAGGTGATGGCCTGCCCATAGCCAGAGAGAAAGAAAGTCCAAGTTTCCTAACACCCACAATGTTGTGCTGACCATCAGGGCTTTGGAATAGAGAGGAAGGGGATGGGTGGAAGAGATGCTCTGTAAACCTCCTTTTGAAATTGTACTGCTGCAGAGACAAACTCACAAGGCCAGAGGCAGAGCACGTTAAGAGAGTGTTATGATAGGACATAGGTTTGAATTCTCATCCCTGCAGAGTGTAGATACCTAGGGGAATTTAGAGGCTGTCTAAAGGATCATCAATGGGGAATTTGTTTTATGCTCCTGCACATAAATGCTTTTGTAAGACTGAGCCTGAACGTCTTTCAACACCTAAAACAGTTTATGCTCGTGCTACAACATATTTTAAAATTGTTTTACCATATGGTTAATGACAGGAGAGATTAAATATTGCTGCACTGAGTGTAATTAATATCCTAATTATTTTTACTGTATTAACTATGCAGTCTACCTTTTAATTAAAAGGAGAGTAAACCAGCTGCATTGGAAACATTTTGCTTACAGTGATGGAACTGAGTAGTAAATACTGTTGAAAGTGTCATCAAATGCACTTACTTTGTTGGTTGCTTATATCAGATGCGTATGAAAACTGTTGGAAAGCACTACAGCTCTTTTCTAAAAAAACTGTAAAATTTGACACATGGAAGAAGAGTGATGAATATCTTGTTACAAATATCTGGAAATAAGATGTAAACACAATTTCTTCTGTTGCAAGAATTGGTCTTGTTCTCATTTGCATCAAGTATTTAAACTTCTGTAATCTGACTATAACAAGCAATCTGTTTTTCTTTAAAATTGAGAAACCTTTTTCTGATGGTAGACTTAGGAAATACTACCACTCTTAAATTTTTTTCATTTGTTCCCATAGTTGCATACTCTAAAGCTGAACAAAGTAAGCCCTTGGTCTTATACTGCAGTTCTTACTCTTTCTCATTATTTCTTTTTTTATTATTATTTATTTATTATTTATCTAACAACCAGAATTAGATTGGATGGTTTTCAAGGCAGTGTCATGTCTCTTGCACATTTTCTACAGAATATCTACTACTACTTACTTGTAAGTGAATGATTGAAACCCTCAGCTTTTCAGGCAAGAAACTAATCTGAAAGGATATGAAACCAGAGATTATTTGTTCCTTCTCAAGTAGACCCAGATAACTGGGCAGAGGAGGAAGAGGATAGCTGACTAACACGGACAGTGGGGGTTTTGAAGAAGACCCTGGTTTGGAGGGACCAGTTATTCTTTGAGGTAGGTAGAATAGCTTGAGTGGAGAGAGGGAGGCGTTTCATGTGTAACTTTTTCTAGTTTATGTGCATTTATTTTTATTTGTAATATTGGAGTAATTTTTTTTCCTGTGGAAGAAATAGGCTGCTTCTAAAAACTTTGATTTGTAGTAGTGTTCAAGCTAAAAGAAAAATGATCACCCTTGTTAGCTGTTGCAGTGCTATTAGTTTGCCAGTTGGCAAGGAATGCTCTTTCCTCTCTGCTTTTATATATTACAAGAAGTGAAAGGTTGAATAAATGCTCAATTGTATGACGTTTGAGTAAGAATCCTGCAGAGGTATTATAAATCATGTAATTTAAATGATGTTTTCAGACAATTGTAGCTTTATTTTTTTTCTTAGCCTGTGTGTTTATGGAAAAGCATCATTTGATTATACAGTACATTAGTTGTGGATTTGCATTGGTGTCTAAAGGTAATAAACCCATATCTATCATCAGAAGAATCAGAAATCAAGTCAGAGATAGACTATTGCAATTTTAACGGTAACAACTTTTCCAGTAAGGTGTCACAGCCTTGAAGAGGATCATCTTTTTCTTTTTTTCCTTGTAAATTGTTGGAAAAAACAAATGGATTTTTTAAAGTTACAGCATGAGTTTGAAAAGCATTGGAAACAACAGAACTTCGGTGAATGTAATTCATATTAGAATGTTCTGACTTTCCAACAGCTTCCAAAAATTTTTTGTGTTTTGTGCTTGATGAAAAGTAATAATGTTTGAAAATGGAGGGTATAGGCAGCACTTTTGGCATGTAGAAGGACAGATAACATTTGTTCATTTGTATTTTAACTGCTAATGTTTTGTCCTATAAGGTTTTGCACAAAAATGGCAAGCTTCAGAAACAGAGATGTTTATTCTTTTCAGCCACTTGAACCATTTTCAGTTCCTTACTGCCTACAAAGTACCAACTTCATAAATTGTACCACAACTGTAGAAGCTATTACGAGTTCTGTTATAAACCATACTTATTTGGTGCATGTACTTGAATAATAGGTCTTAGTCATCAGGCTCAAAATTTGAGTGCTGATCAGATTTAAAAGAGGATAAGTAAAGTTTTGGGACTCAAATTAGGAGAGGGACCCAGGAGTTGTGTTCCAGCAGCAGCTTTTCTTGTATGCAAGAATATGCAGCTTCTGAGTTGGCTAAGTATTATATATGTTTTCATGTTTCTGTTCTTTGTTTTTATCATTGCACACTGATTTTTGCTCAGCTTTTAGTGTGTTCATTATTGTAGAGAAGAAAAATTACCAGAAGCCTAAAATTAGTGAATTCAAACACAGTATTTGGTATATTTGGAGTGGCCCTTTGCCATCTGTGTGCTTAACTGTGGGGGAAATAGAAAAGAAATATAGCAAAGTTTACAACAAGAAATTATCATAATGCCATTGGTATTTCTTAGCTAGGTACTGTAGGTACTTAAATGGCCCACAATCGCTGTAAAATTTGGCTGCTGTATCTTAGCGTACAAAGTACCGATTAGTGAGTCAAAGAACTGAAAAATATAAACTTGTATCTGGAACTGTTCTTAGTTGGTAAGAATTTTGTAAGCAGACAAACAATACATGTATTTTGAAGGGGGGGGGGGGGAAATCTGTCATCTGAAACATGATTCATTTTCCCCACTTCAAGGATTTGTATAATTAAATAGGGCAGTATTTCACCCTGAGTAGCAAAGACTGCTGTTCAGTGTTTGACAATCTCAGGAAAACATTCCAGTTTTATAATACACATGCAGTCTTTTATTTTGATTTTAGACCATGTTTTGAA